CTGGGCTGGATTCGAACCTGCCACCTTAGGTGTATGTGGCTGGCACCTTAGCCACTTGAGCCACAGGTGCCGAGCCTATTTTATTTTATTTTTTTAAAGACAGAGTTTCACTATGTGGCCCTTGGTAGAGTGCCATGGCATCATAGCTCACAGCAACCTCAAACTCTTGGGCTTAAGTGATTCTCCTACCTCAGCCTCCGAAGTAGCTAGGACTATAGGCGCCTGCCACAATGCCCAGCTATTTTTGTTGTTGTTTTTGCCATTGATGTTTAGCAGGCCTGAGCCGGGTTTGAACCTGCCAGCACCCTAACCTCTGAAGTACAGGTGCTGAGCCTGAGTATGGTATTTTAAAAACTTCTCATTAAGCCCAACTTTCTTTTTTTCTTTTTCTTTTTCTTTTTTGAGACAGAGCCTCAAGTTCTCACCCTGGGTAGAGTGCCGTGGCATCACAGCTCACAGAGCAACCTCCAACTCCTGAGCTAAAGTGAGTCTCCTGCCTCAGCCTTCCAAGTAGCTAGGCCTACAGGTGCCTGCCACAGTGCCTGGCTATTTTGTCGTCGTTGTTGTTGCAGCCATCATTGTTGTTTGGTGGCCCGGGCTGGGTTCAAACCTGCCAGCTCCGGTGTATGTGGCTGGCGCTTTAGCCGCTTGAGTCACAGGCGCTGAGCCAAGCCTAACTTTCTTTAGCTTTTTTGACTCTGAGCCATTGAGTCCTGTGATTTTTGCACACAGAATCATCCTCTGCACCGGCAAGGGCATTGAAGATGCTAAAGGAGTGCCTCACTATTTTCTAGAGGATGATCATCCAGGTTGCTCAGACTTACTCTGCAAATCTTCATGTTAGTGTTTTCCTGATCTTACCAGAAGACCCCAGAAGATATTTGGATCAAATTTGCCCATGTGGGTATGACAACAATGTCATGAGTGCAACAAGGCTGACAGCGATTGTAAGGCTCATCCCAATTTCAGGGATGTTAAATGTAAGGAAATATGCATTTTAGAATCAATGAAATTTGGAAGTTTAAGTGGTTGAAAATCCTTTATACATGATACAAGAAAGAAAAAAGTCACCCCTCTCTAAATCATCTTATTTAGTAAATGTCCTAACACATAGTCT